CCCCAGGACGAGCCCATGACCCCCGCCGACTGGGACGCCCACCTCAGCTGGCGCCGCCACTGCATCGAGCCGCGCGTGTTCGTGCGCGTCTTCCGCATGCTGTCAGTCGTGGAGCTCTGGGTGCTGTCCGTCACGCTGGCTGCGGCCCTCTACGCGCACCACCTGCAGCCGCTGCCGGGATGGCCTGTGGCGGTGTCGAAGGACTACATGGTGGTGTTCACGCTCACCAGCTTTGCGCTGGCGCTGCTCATGGTGTTCAGGACCAACACGGCGCACGCGCGGTGGTGGGAGGTGCGAACGTACGCGCATGCGCGTGCACTGGCTCGCGGCGCCCCGCGCGGGGCGCCGTGCTCGTGGCAGAGGGAGCCGGCCGCCACGCAGGATGGAGATGGTTGGCTGCGTTGAGGAGGTGCCGGCCTCCTTTCTTTGTTCTGTACCTTGGCTTGTTGACACCTCGCCTCGTCTCCCCACACCTCACCCCTTGTGGCACCGATGGCCCCCATAGCGTCGCCCACCTGAGCGCCCCCCCGCCCGCCACCTGGGCGCCACGCTCCTCACCCCCAACGCAACGCGCCCCTTGCCCACACACACGCCTGCGTTGGGAGGCACCATCCCGCCCTCTCCTCCCCCTCCTCCCTCCCGAAACGTCGTGCAGGCCCGCATCGCCACCGGCCGTTGGCTGAACGTTGTGCGCAACACCAACCGGATGCTGCTCGCGTGGGCGGACGCGCCGCGCGACGCCGCGGCGGTGCGCGAGTTCCGGCGATGGAGCGCGGCCCTGACGCCGGCCGCGTGCGCCTACCTCTGCCGGAAGGACGCATACTGGTGCGCGGGGCCAGGCCCCTTGGCCGAGGCCGCGGCCCCAGCCTTGCGACAGACGTCCGAGCAAACACCGCGACCACGCTGTGGATGCGCTGTGACAATTCCTTCAGGCGTTGTCGCCGCTGCGACTGCCTGTGGTGGTCTTGTTTCTCTGAATCGTTTGTGGCCACCAGTCTGCCGACGCAATCCGCCACGCGCGCGCCCCCCTCCCCCTCTCCTCTGGTCCTTGCCACACCCAAGGGAGCACTGCCAGGGCCTGCTGTCGCCCGCCGAGATCGCGTGGCTGGCCGGCTGCGACAACCCCCCGGTCAAAGTCATGGCCATCATGTCACGGCTCCTGAAGAGGTGCGCGGGCGACCTCACCTTCAGCCTCTTTGCTTGCTGCGCGTGTGCATCACAAACCCTGGCCCGCGTCCTAGCGGGGCCCGTCAACGTTCGTCAGGCGGGGTGGGGCCGTAGCAATAAGCGCGCGCTCGCACCGCGATCACCACGCTCCGCGAGCTATTCCCCCAGTCAAACCGCTGCGTCCGCTCGCCCTGTGTGTGCTCGCGGGACGACGCGCTCCAATCTGCCTAGGACCGGCCTCTCCGCGATCGAGCGGGCCGAGGTTGAGCGGGAGATCTGTGCGTTTGACATCGCCCTTGGCGCCTTGGAGCGCATCACGCGGCAGGCCATACCCATGGCCTACACACGGTGAGGTTTTGCGGGGCTGTTCGGGGTATCGTCAGCGCGCATCCAACCGCGACCTGCTTTCTGTGGGTGTGTTGTGGCTCCAGGGCTCTTGGAACTACATGTGTGGGGCTATCTCGGGGTAGCAGGCACATGTACGCGTGGCCACGGCCGGTCAAATTTGCCTGAAGCCAGTTGCACGCCGGCTGCCCCCGCTCAAAACTGAACGTTGCCTCCCACTAACCCCTGGCTGGCAGCCACACATCGCGCTTCATCATCGCCTACCTCACGTTCCTTCCGTTTGGGCTGTTTGCCTACCTGGGCTGGCTGGTGCTGCCCACCATGATGGCGCTCACATTCCTGGTGAGGTCATGTGCGAGTGTGTGAATGTGTGTGTGTGTGTGTATGTGTGTGTGTGTGTGTGTGTGTGTGTGTGTGTGTGTGCGCGCGCGCGCATGTGTGTGCGCATGTGTGCACATGTCCGAGCGCACGCAGATGCACTGGTGCCTGTGCTGCATCAACGAGGGCGCGTGCAGACACACCATCCAGGGAGCGTGCCCTGCCCGGGCCCGCAGCGCTGCGCGAGCCTTCCTGCCCTTGCCGCCAACGCGGCCCACCCCATGGTCTTCCTGCGCCTGCCCCCCCCCAAACCTTCCCCAGCTGGTGGGCATAGAAAACATCGGCGTCCAGATAGAGAACCCCGTCCGGGTGCTGCCAATGCACCGGTTCTGCGTCGGCAACAAGACCGCCGCGCTGTCTATGGGGCAGCACGACTGGAAAGTGCAGGAGGTGCTGGAGGCGGCCCTCGGGGCCGCGGAAGCCGCCGGCTGGGAGCAGGCAGCGGCGCAGCAGCAGCAGCAGCCCCAGCAGCACTCACAAGGCTGGCAGGGCACAGCAAGCAAGGACGCGTGCTTCGTTCCGCCAGCACCGGGGGCACGGGGGGCGTCATTGGCGGTGCCGCCGATGACGCGGTGAGCGGACAGGTCGCTCGCGGCAAATTTTCAGCGCGAGGAGAGGCGAGTGGTTGGCAACGTCGCATTCCCATATTGATCCAATGCGGTGGCAGCTGTACGTGCAGAGACTGCAGGATGTCTATTATTGCCGGGTTTTGCGTTTGCGATGGTGCCTGTTGTGCTTACACTGTGGGGCATTTGCATCCTTTTTGCGCGATTGGTGGGATTTGGCTCTTATTGTTTGGGTTGATGCATTGTGTCTGATGCAACAGCCCTGAGTCACGGCTTTTTTATTGTACTTGCAAGCTCTCGCAATTGTGAGCGCTTAAAAGAGGTGGAGACAAATGAGACAAGCACAGGAAATGATTGTGTAAGCATCAGCTACGTGTGGTGTAACATGGTGACAACGCTGCACAATGGACAAGACAAGAGTGGCGGTGCAGCATTTCGCCATAGACCCGTCATGGCTGGCAGGCGGATCGGCAAGGCTGATTGCGACTTCGGCGCCCCCCACACAACGAAAAGGTCAACGGCGGTCAAAGCGGCGTTGGAGGGGGCCTGAGCCCCAATGTGCTATCCGTGTACCCACTTCACGGAAGTATTGAGCTAACCACGGCGGTGCAAGGCCGCACAAACCAACAACTAGCAATCTAGGGTCGAAACAGCATCTTTACCCTGGGGCAGCATATCGCACGAGGGAGGTCCCGATCTGATTTTACCTTGCTTGAAGGCGGTATAAATTTTTTCACACCAACAAGCTGCGTCGTTCAGGAACCGGATCAGTGACTAGCTCTGTCGCCACGCGGCGCTCTGCGATCGATGCAGCTCGCGAGAAAATGCAGTGGGGCAAGCGTCACAACGCATAGGACGGCACGCGTGTGGCCAGCAACCCCACCAGCAGCCTCATGCCGGAGGCGCGCCACGGTCCCGACACCCGACCCAACGCCCAGCGCGCGGCCCACCCGCTGCTGCGTCGCATCGCCCCGCGACGCGCCGCCGGCGCCGATCGCCAGCGCGCCCGCGGCGGGCACTGTGTTGCCACTCCATGACCTGGCACCGGCCAACAACTCGCGGCCCGACCCCATTCCTCTGGAGCAGGTGAGAGTTCGCAGTTCCCCACGCCCACTGCATAGGGACTGCCAGTTGCCCAGGCCTCGCTGCCTCGGATGCGAGGCCCCATCCTCCTGCTGGGGACATGCACCAATTCATGGCAATGGTATACCCGCCCACCTGTCCCTAGCTGCTCCGCGATTGAACACCGGTCCACTCATCACACGTCTCAGGGCAAACCCTTCGGTGTACTCACCACCTTAACCCCCTCTAACCTCAACTCACCACCTCAACCCCTCAAATCCAAGGCGCCCCTGGGTCTCACCTACTACTCAGACGGCAGCGCCACATTCAGGGTATGGGCGCCGCACGCAGCTTCCGTGCAGCTGCTCGCCAGCCGCACCCGCGCCGCGCCCCTCGGCGCCACCCCCAACCCCCACCCGGAAGCTCTCGGCCTCGACGCGCCGGCGCCCGACCACGGCCCCAACGCGGCCGCGGCCGCGGCCGCCGCGGCCGCCGACGAGGCGGAAGGCGAGCAGACGCCGCTCGCGCGGAGCGGCGACATTTGGGGCGCGGCGCTGCCGGCCGGCGCGCTGCCGCCGGGGTCGGCATACCAGCTGCTGCTCTCCACCCCAGACGGGCGTCTGTTGCGGCGGCGCGACCCCTATGCGCGCCAGACCGACTACGGCAGCGAATGGTGCTATGCAGTTGACCCCGCGCAGTACGAGTGGAAGGCGAGGGCGTGGTCTCAGCCGCCCTTTGACCAGTACATGATCTACGAGATGCACGTGAGGCCTGGGGTGAAGCCGCCGGGGGGCCTTGACGGGCGCTGTTGCGGGGCCGCAGGAAGGAGGGCGTGGTGCTGCTGAGATGTCGCAACAAGGGCGGAGCGGGCAGGAGGGGCAGGACCGGCCCTGCCGTGTGCCTGTGCATCGCTTAGGTGCCACAAGCCCAAATTGATCGGAGCCTGCACCGAGGACTAGGCAGCTGCTTGCCTCCTGGGACATATTGTGGCTTGCTGTGCAGCGGCCATGGAATCAAGAATGAAACTTCTGTGCAAAGAGGGGCAAACATGCGCTTTGGCCGCAGTCCGTTTCGTGCCACTCCGTGCGCGCCGCCGCCGCCTGCTGCCACGCCTAAGCGCCCGACGGCGCTGCCCGGCCAAGCCTTCCCCCCTCTGCCTGCCCCTGTGCGGCAGGTCGGCTCCTTCACGCCGGAGGGTACCCTGGCAGCAGCTGCGGAGAAGCTGGCCCACGTGGCGTCCGTGGGCTTCACCGCGGTGCAACTGATGCCGCTGGCAGAGCACTCTGACGCCTGGGGCTACAACCCGCGGCAGCTGATGTCGCTGCACGGCGCGTACGGCTCCCCAGACGTGAGCAAAGCAGGGGCGGTGCGGCACTGTGTGGTTTGATTGTGCAACCGCAGTCCCGGGCAAAGGGGACAAGGTGGTGGAGAGGGGGAGGGGGACGGAGTGGGGGGCGGGGCTATCAAGTGGGTGCCTGGGATCAAATGGGTGCCTGGGACCGGCGGCTTTGCCCTAGGGCAGCCTGCGGGAACCCCTCGCGTGCCTGGCGCCAGCTCTCTCCCCTAGGGAAGAGGCTTTTTCCCATCCACCTTGCTTCCCCGGCTGTTCCTGCCTCGCCCCACATGATTTGACCTCAAATCGAATCCGACCCGCCAAACCCCCCCGCCCCTCTGCTACGTCTGCCCTCTAAATCTCAAGGACATGCGTGCGTTTGTCGACGCCGCCCACGCCCTGGGCCTGGCCGTTATTGTGGATGTAGTGCTGCACCACGGCGCGCCCGAGGGCAACGCCCTGTGGGAGTTTGACGGCTGGGGCCCTGGCTGGGCCCATGGGGGGATCTACCACGAGAACGCCCCCGACACGGAGTGGGGCCGCCAGTTTGCCTTCTGGAAGGGCGAGGTGCGCGACGCGGGCACGGGCGCAGCGCATGCTTGCGCGCACGCGCATGTGTGTGTCTGTGTGTATTGTTGTGTTCGCGTGTGATCGCGGTGTGCTGGGTGTCGAGCCAGGCATGAGCAAGCCAATTAGCATGCGTGGGCGGCTGGAAACCCATAATCGATGGCGGCAAAGCGATACCAAACTCGCACCCCCACCGGAGCCGCCTTGACGGCACACTTGCACAACCCCGGCACACCACTCGCTGCTCACCGCGTCCCAGATCATCGACATGGTGACCGCGGCGTGCGCCATGTGGCTGGGGGAGTACCGCGTCGATGGCCTCAGGTTCGACAGCGCCAACGACCTGCCGGGCCACTCGGTGCAGGTGAGAAAGCGGGAGGGGCGGATGGTAACACACACTGCAGGGCCCGCCATTCGGTGCGGGGGTGCCTGGGTGTCGACGGGAAAGGGTGTTTGCAGCTCCTGGAACGGAAGGGAGGGCGGCTGACCAGGGCAGCGGCGCGGGCGCCCGTCCTGCTTGCACGGCAGAGAGCTGCCAGCTCCCCCATGCACTCTGCACCCTTGCCTTTCACCTCCGCACCCTCGCCTGCCGTCCGCTGCGCTTTTCACCCCATGTCAACACATCTCCTCCCACCCCTCCTCCCCCAAACCAAAACTCTTCAACACCACGCCCTCCCTACAACATGTGGCCTGCTCTCGCCCCCCCTCCCCCCTCCCCAACTCCTTTACCCCTGCAGGCCATGACTTGGGCTCTGCGCTCTCAGTACCCCGGGCGCCTGCTGACCGCCGAGATCACCCCTGAGGACCCCAGGGGCGTCCACGAGCTGGGCTTCGACGCCCTCTGGGTGCACTCGGGCTACTTTGACATCATTCAGCAGCACAAGGCGCTGGGGAGGTGCGCGCACGCGCGGGAACTTGTGCGGGACGGCTGTGGGACGGCTGCGGGGAAGCGTGCAGGGACGGCTGCGGAGACAGCTGCGGGGATGCGTGTGGGGACGCATTTTGTTGGTGTCGTTGCGCGCCTGCACGGGCATGTGTGTGCGCATGCCTGTGTCAGCGTGTGTGAGCACGTGCTTTCGCTTGTGGAGGGTGCTGTGTCGGACAGGGGTGGGGCCAGCAGCAAGAGTTGCGCGGGTCTGACAACGGACTGCTGCAGGTCTAGCAAGGCCTAAACCGCTGCAACCGGCCGCGGCTTCCCACCTTCTATATCATGTCTCGCCTATGACCCAATCTCACCCCCTCCCGCCAACTCCCGTGGCGCAGGGGCCACCACGGCGGCGGCGACTGGGCGGCCGGCTGGGACCTGCCCCGGCTGCGCACCGCCATGGGCCTGCACCCCGGCTTCACCGCCCCCACCCAGTGCATCAAGTACATGCTGGGCTCGCACGACCAGGTGAGAGGCAGGCGGCGGCTCGGGGTGTGGGTCATGCCAATTGGATGGGGTTTGGTGGATTCAGCTTGCGGAGGAGGCTGGCTAATATCTTTGTCGGAGACAGGCCCAGGGGACGCTCAATATTGTAAGAGATCAGGCAGGGCCGCAGTCCGGGCAGCGACGCGCCCCTGCGCGTGGGGCCACCACGCCCAGCACAAGCGCCGTCGCACCTGCTGAACAACGCTCGAGCGTCCGCGCCGCTCCGCCGCCTGCCGCGCAGGTGGGGTGCCGCCACGGCGGGAAGTGGTACGCGGACTACCAGATGATTGGCGGCCAGCACAGGTGAGGACGCATGATGTGCGTTGTCCCAATTTTCCGCATGTTGCGGCCTCAGCGTCGCCAGCCACTCAGCTGCAAAGCGCAAGATCGCCCCAATGCGTGCTGCCGTCGACTCAGCCTGGCCGGTCCCGATGATTGCACGCAAATCAGCAACAAGGATGAGAATACAGTAGACTTGCACGTGGCGGCTGCTAACTTTGTCGCATCCCCGTTGCAAAACCGCCCGCGAGCAGGTACGCCGTTGACCAGTTCGGCGGCGGCCGCCACGACCCCCATGCCTCCGCCGCCGCGCGCTGCTGGTGGGCGGCCAACGTGGCGGCGGCGGGGCTGCCGATGATGTTCATGGGCACAGAGGCCGCGCAGAGCGGTTGGTGGGACACCGACGCGTGGCACGGCATGCAGTGGGGAAACACAGAGGTGCGGGACGCTTGCAGTCGGCCCTATGTTTGGTACAGGCAAGGGGTGACAGGGCTGGCGCCAGAGGGTTTTGGCCTGCCAGCAAATGATTGCGAGGCGGGTGGCATTGGGCCAGCAGAGTGCACAGCGGCATCTGTACCATGGGAAGAGCCGTTTGAGTCATGCTTGGGAGCCATCGCCAGGCCTGGCCAGCCCCCTGCCGCCCGCACGCGCCGCTGGCGACGCCGCGTGCGCGCCCATGCGCCTGGGCCCCCCACGCTCCGCCCTCCCAACCCCCCCGCGCGCAGGACGAGGCCGGGCGGGCGATGATGGCGGCCGTCCGCGGCGCCAACGCGCTGCGCGCGTCCCTGCCGGCGCTGCGCCGCGGCCGCGCGTCGCAGCTGCACGAGGACCGCCCCAACGGCGTGATGGCGTACGAGCGCGTCGCCGACGGCGAGGACGAGCCGCGGGTGGTGGTCGTGGTCAACGCGGGGCGCGGCTACTGGCAGGGGTCGGAGTACGGCGTGTGGGTGGGGGGCACAGGCACCATGGAGGAGGTGTACTGCTCGCAGGTGGGCCGGGGCACAGGCGCAGGCGCAGGGCAGGTTTTGTAGTGCGTGCTCGCGCCCGAACGGCAGGTGTGGTTGTATGTATGTGTGAGTGCGTGCGCGTATGAATGGTCGCATGTGGAGGGGCTTGAGGAAGGATGGGATAGGCGCGGCGAAGGGCTCAGCTGCCTCGGCACATCCAGCGAGGGGCTGTGCCCAACGCATTGGCGGACTGCCGGGGGGGGAGTCGTGTGGGGTGAGATCGGGCGGCAGCGTATTCGCGCTGGGCTGTGAACCTCATGGTGTTCACGCGTCCCCGACCGCAGCCCTTTGATGTTTCCGCCTTCACTCCGTAAGCTTTCGCCCCGCTTCTCTGGCCGCCGCCTACCCCCTCGCTGCCAGTCCCCCGAGTACGGTGCCGTCGGCGGACACCACTCCAACGCCGGCGCGCCGCTGCAGATCCACGACGGCCGCATCTGGCTCAACCTGCCGCCCTGCTGCACGATGTACTTCGTGCACACTTCAGTCTAGGTCGATGTTTTGGCAGCGGCCTGGCGAGCACATGGGCGCGGCCCGCATCTGCACCAGCGCGGGCCTCCTCGCACATGCAGCACATGCGGCGGCGGGCCCTGCGGGCCCGGCTTGCGTTCTCAGTCCGGCTTGGTTAGAGAGCAGATGAGCAAGCGTGTTTGTAGTTGGGTGCATTCCACAAGATGGTTTCCAGGTGTCAGACATGCGGCGCTACCCTGTATCACAGGCGCCCGAGCGCCTTTTCTGGTTGAGAGCTGCAGGCTGCATGCATGGTACTGATGTTGTGTGGGTGGTGCACAGACGTGTTCTGGCTGAGTGCCAAGGTAGATGATTTGTGCAAACTCGTCTCCCCTGAACACCTGTCTGTAGTCTGGACGAGCTTCGGGGCAGGTGCACCAGATGGTTAGCAGGCCCGGGTCGGTAGAGCGATGCATGCGAGAGCGCCCCAAGCTGGTGTCGCCCTGCAGCACGGCCAGGCCCTGACAGTGCTCTGGCGTCATCTTGTGTCCAGGCGATCGTGCCGCAGTGCACGCGAGCATGCCACTGATGGGAGGTGAGCCAGCGGCAGGGGTGCAAGCCGCGGCACTGTGACGCGCTGGCGGTGTTGCTTGCTGGGTGCACAGAGGCACATGCTGCCTGCCGTGGTGCAGTGCAACCATTTCAGCCAGGGGTGGTGGATCCTCAGCAGACATGCTCCTCAGGTAGCTTTAGGCTCTGTGTCAAGGTTTGCAGGTGTGGGTTTGAGTTCAAGCGGGATCCGGGCCACAGTCCAGCCGGAGTTCACAATTGTGCTGTAGTGACGTGGTGACGCCATGTGAGCAAGGGTATCCCTCTTCACCGGGTGTCTCACGGCGTGTGACGCATACACGGAGACCAGGCAGGCTCAAAAAAGTAAACTTAAGCGGCCACAGCGCAAGCTGTACACTGTAAAGGCGTGCCAAATTATCTGGCCTCATACCCGGCACTTCTAGTCACTCCATTGAAGGGAATTACGGCACAAGGCCAGTACGAGTTGAACGAATTTGACACTTCAGAACGAGCAGAAAGCTTGTGTACGTCACGCCACCTGCATCCCGCCAGATCAACAGGTCGTGGACACGCACAGGCATCTTCTGACTTCGGCAGCGGACGCAAATGATGGTAGCGGCTCAGACTTTGCAGATCCCGGCTTGAGGGAGCCTCAGCCATGGTTTCGGCCGGTGCGATGCCACCCCTCGAGGCGCCGGTGGCGCCACCCCTTGCGGCGGTGGGCGTGGGCTGCCGCCTGCCCGGCCCGGTCGGATCACCCTCCGCCCTCCTAGAATTCCTGGCTGCCAAGCGCTGCGCGCTCTCGCCGGTGCCCCCGGGCCGCTACCCGCCCGGATCGCTCTCGGCCGCCGCGGCGGCTGTGAGGCTTGGGGTTCTGCCAGACGCCGGGGCGGAGGCTTTCGACCACCGCTTCTTCCATGTCAGCCCAGCCGCCGTCGCGGACGTCGACCCGCAGCAGCGCATGGCCCTGGAGGTGCGCTCGTGCGCACGCGCCCGCCGCGCGGCGCGTGGAGCGGCGAGTGGCAAGGGGCCACATGCACCGCCACATGGCCCATTAGGGGTGCATGAGCAGACGCGTTGTGCGAGTCTGTGTGGCGCCCTCGAGCGAAACGGCGCCACCTCCAGGCGCTGCCATCTTCCGCAACGCGACGTGCACATTGCACGGCTTGGTCATGCCGACTGCGCGGTGGTGCGACTACATCGCGTGCGCAGTCCGCATCACCCGCGCCGGCCTGCCTCGACGCCGCCCAGCCCCCTGGCGGTCCCCAAAACCCCCTGCCGTCCCCATACAGCCCCATGCAGCCCCGTGCGACCCCATGCGGCCCCATGCGCGCACCACGCCAGGTCACCTATGAGGCACTGCAGGACGCGGGGCTTTCCATGGAGCGCATGCGCGGCCTGGACATCGGCGTTTTTGCCGGCGTCGGGTTGCCAGAGTTTCCAATCAGGAACGGCTCCGAGCCAGGGGCCGTCGGCTCCGTCACGGGGACCTACGGGTGCGCTCGGCGCCCCCGCGCGCGCCGATGCCCGCAGCCCCCAGGGCGCAGCGCGCGGGTTGCCTGGGTTGGCGGGGGCGTCTCCTTTGCGGCCTTGCCCTCACTCAGGGAGCCGATCTTTCTGGTGCCTTTTGATTTCAACAGCTCCAACCTCGATTATGAAGTGCGGATGGCTGGTGCCGTGCTTGGTGTCAACCGCCTCTTCTCCTCCGCCCACCTCGACACCGTCGACCCCCGCCCCTCCCCCTCCAGCTGCTTCGTGGCCAACCGGGTGTCGCACTTCTTCGACTTTACCGGCCCCTCTGTGGCCATCGACACCGCCTGCTCCTCTTCGCTCACGGCGCTGCACCTTGCCGCCAACAGCCTGCGCGCCGGCGACTGCTGCGCGGCCGTGGTGATCGGTGAGCGGGCCCGCGCCTGGCTGATCCGCTGCTGCGAGCACCGCCTGACCGAGGTCGCTAGGCTTTTGCGTTTGGGCTTCCAGGAGCTGCCCCTTGCTGCGGGGTTTGAGTACTGGCCTGGGACGACCCCTGCCGGGCGGAAGCAGTCCGCAGCGGAGGCCGCTCAAAACGCTGCTGCTCACCTTCTTGTGCTCGGCGCCCACCCGCAAACCGCAACCAAGGGACGAGCGCGCTGCTCTCCAGCTACGTCCTCCTGAGCTCCCTGGCCAGCGGCGCCATTTCCCCCACCGGCGACTCGCGCCCCTTCGACGCCCGCGCCAACGGCTTCGTGCGCGCCGAGGGCGCGGTCGCGATCCTCCTCCTGCCGGTCGGCCCTGTCCGCCCCGAGCTCGGCGCCGCACTGGCCGGCGCCGCGCTGCGACCTTACGGCTACGTCGTTGGCAGCGGCGCCGGCGCTGACGGAGCGAAGCCCTCTGCGGTTGCGCCGGCGCCTGCGGCGCAGCAGCGGCTGATGCGGCAGGTGCACGCGCGCGCGGGGGTGGACCCCGCGGACGTCTGCTACATGGAGGCGCACGCGACGGGCACGGCCGTGGGTGAGCGGGCGGGCGCAAGAGCAGCGGCGGCGAGGGCAGCCCTCGCAGGGCCGCTGACAGCCCAAGCAAGTCGTGGTTATGCACCTGCCCACTCGGAGACCCCGCCTCACCCTGCTCGACATGGCGTTTCAGCTTGATTCAAGCCGCATGCATCCCCGCATGCCCCAGCATGCATCCTGTTGCGGCAGTGCCTGCATACATTTGCCCTCTCCTTTCCACTTGCGTGCGCGCTGCGTCAAGCCCATAACATCCCCCACCCCCTGTGCGTGCCCGCAATGCGCTTCCTCGTACCCGCAGGCGACCCCACTGAGGCCCTCAGCATAGGCACCGTCCTCGGCCGCAGCGGCCGCCCCAAGCCGCTGCCCGTCGGATCCCTCAAGGTGCTGGCGCCCGCGGCCGCCCCCCGCTCCGCCGCCAGCTCGACCCCCATGCGCACAGGGGCCTCGCACTGGACACCGCCTTGCTGTCCCCCTTGTCGCCTTTGGCGCGTGCCGAGCTGAAATCAGCACACGCATGCGCCCGCACCTCGTCCCCCCGCCTGCAGGGCAACCTCGGGCACCTCGAGAGCGCCGCAGGCCTGGCCAGCTTGGTCAAGGTCCTCGTCATGGCCCGCCACCGCGTTCTGCTGCCGACGGCATCCTTTGAGGGTTGGAGCCCGAAGATCGACGCGGCGCGGCTGAACATACGCGTGGTGGCGGAGGTGGAGCGGCTGGCCACGCCGGCTGGGGCGCCCTTTTTCATGGGCATCAACAGCTTCGGTGAGCGCTGCGAGCGGGCCCGCGCAAGCCGCACAACGCATGCACACGCGACTTGATAGCAGCACGGGACGAGGACTCTAGAGCTGCAGTTGGCTTTGGTTTTGTGCAACAGCAGTCCCCACAGGGCGAGAGTGGCGTGGGTGGCTGCGCTCAGCAGGCGCCGGCGGGCGGGTTGTGTGTCAGCATGTCTGTCAGCAGGGCGTCCTGCTTTTGCTGTAGCGCGACGCGCGCTCGGCACGTTGAATCCAGCTGGTTATGGCTGTACGCTGCCTGCAAGAACAAGCCAGTGTCTCATAGCACGTTCACCCTGCGCTGCCGGCTGCAGGCATGGGCGGCGCCAATGCCTACGCGATCATCCGCGGGCCAGACGAGGGGCAGCACTTGGAGGTGGTGGCAGGCGCTGGCGGCGCACCTGCGCGCCTGGCGGCGGTCCCCAGTGCGCCCCCGCCGCCGCGAGCGCCGCTGCTGCTGCTGCCGCTCGCGGCGCACGACGCGTCGCTGCTGGCGCCGTACTCAGAGCGCTGGGCCGCGTTTGCCGCCGGCGGCGGCGACGTCGACGGGGGGGTCCGCGCCCACCAGCGCACCGCGGCGCTCAGCCTGCGCCACCGCGCCGCGCTGCTGCTCCCAGCACCCGACGGCGCGGCGCCGGCGGCCGCCCCCGCGCCTATCACGCCAGCGCCCGGGCTGGCCGCGGCGGCGGCGCGTGGTGCCGCGCCCCGCGTCGGCGTCGTGTTTTGCGGGCAGGGCACGCACTGGCCCGGGATGGGCGGCGAGCTGTGGACGCACCTGCCCGCCTTCCGCGTGGGCGCCCTGGAATTTGCCGCAACCTACCCCGGCCCGCCGCTGCTGCTGCCAGAGCGCGACTGGGGCGCGGCGTCGCCGCCGTTCGCCCCTGCGATCGCGGCGGCGCTGGCCGCGCCGCCTGCCGGTGCCGATGTCCGCCTGACGCTGCCGGCGACGATGATGGTCGGCTACGCGCAGTGGCGCGTGCTGTGCGCGCTGGGCGTGCGCTGCGCCGCCGCGGCGGGCCACTCGGCGGGAGAGATGCTCGCGGCGCTCGCGGCTGGCGAGATCGACCTCCGGCGCCTGTGCCAGCTCACCTATGCGCGCGCCGCCGCGCTCGGCGCGCTGCCGGCGACTGGCGGCATGGCGGCCGTGTCGGGGCCGCGGCCGGAAGTCGAGCGGCTGCTTGCCGAGGCGTGCGCCGCGGCCGGCGCTGGCCCCGGCGCGGCGGCGGTGGCCGCGACGAACGCGCCGGGCGAGCTCACCGTGTCGGGCGCCGCGGCTGCGATCGCTGCGTTCGTCGCCGCGGCGGGCGCGGCCGGGCTGCGTGCGCAGCAGCTGCCGGGCGCCAGGGCGTTCCACCATGGCCCGAGCGTCTCCGCCGTGCGTGGGGTGTTCTTCTCGGCTCTGGCAGAGGTCGGGTGGGCGGACGAGCAGGGCGCATCAGCACCAGCGGCCAGCGCAGGCCCCGCGTTCTGCCCCGCCGGCGTCCCCGCCGGCCCCGGCGCCTGCCGCTCAGCCGAGCGCTGGTGGCAGCAGCTGCTGCGCCCCGTCGACTTCCAGAGCGCGCTCGCGGGCGTCGCCACCGCGCGCTGCGACGCCGCACTCGAGCTCGGCCCGCGCTCCGTGCTGCGGCGCTACGCGGCCGCGGCGCTGCCGGGCGCCGCGGCGCTGGCGCTGGTGCGCGCGCCTGGGAGCGGGGCGGAGCTGCGGGATGCGTTTGAGGCGCTGGCGCGGCTTTGGCTCGGCGGTGCGGAGATCAGGTGGGGCGAGCTCCTGGAGCGCGGCCCTGCGGGCGCCGGCTTCCCGCGGCTTCCGTGGCTCCGCACCCCCGTTGCTGGCAGCGGCGGCGGCACGACTGTCGAGGCCGAAGCAGCAACAACACCAGCCAGCAAGATCGAGGCGTTGCTCGTCCAGGCAGCCGCGACGGCGGCGGCGCCGGGGGCGCCGGCAGCGGCGCCTGTGGCCCTGAACGGCACCGGCCGCGCAGGCGGCGCCGCTCCCAGCGTCCCTGCCGCCGCGGCTCCTTCGGCGTTCAGCAATGGCCCTGCCGCCGCATCCGCCGCCGCGCCCGCCGCGGCCGCGGCCGCGATCACCCTGGTGGATCTGCCTCAGCACTATGAAGACCACCGCATCGGCGGCCGCCCCCTCGTGCCTGCAACTGCCTACCTGAGTGCCGCCCTAGTGGCTGCGGTTGCGGCAGCTGCCGAGTCGGGCTCCCAGCCTGCGGCGCACGCGGCGGCGCCGGGCGCGCCTGCCGTCGTGTTGGAGAGCTTCGCAGTTCATCGCCCGCTGCTGCTTGGCGGCCCCGGGGGGGGCCCGCGGGCGCTGGAGCTGCGGCGCGGCGC